GGTTCAGGTGAGGGAAGGGCTGGGAGACCCCAGGATCATCAGTCCAGACACCCTCATTGTGTGCCCTCCCCATATTCCCCTCCCCAAGGAAGAGGGAGACCGAGGTATGGATCTCACTTTCACTGCAGCCCTGAGAGTCTCTGGGTCTCTTCAGCCCCCTCCCCCCATTTTTCCTGCCACTTTTGGGGGGCAAAGAGGCCCCACCTGGATCCAACGTTCCCTGCAGAGAGTAGGGCTTTCTGCTGCACCATTTGCGCTTCTGCCTGCCTTTCTCCAGGGTGGGAGGATGGAGGGGCCCACCAGGAAGCTCCTCCCCTCCCCCTCTTTCCTCCCCCCCCACACCCCCAGCAACTCTCCATCTCCCCCAGGGAGCCTCACTGGGACCGACAAAGCTCCCCCTCCCTCCTCCAGGGGGCGTCTTGAGGGAGTGACAGCCCTGCGGGGTTGGCCACTGTTGCCGAAGGAAGGTGTTGAAGCTGGAGTGGAGGGGGGCTGAGAACGGCCCCCCTGGGTGCCCCTTCCAGCTGGGCCCTCCAAAGGCCACCCCTAGGTTTCCTGCAGCAGGTCTTCCCACTCCCCCTTCCCGCATGGGTCCCACCTCTGCTGGCAGCTGGGAGCGATGGGTGCTGGAGTCCTTCCTGACGGCCCTCCTCCTCCCCCTCCTCCTCCTCTCAGCCCATTTCTTGCACCAGGCAAAGGCTGAGTGCCACTTCTTCAACGGGACGCAGCGGGTGCAGTTTCTGGTCAGGATCTTCTACGACCGGCAGGAGTTTGTCCGCTTCAACAGCGACATCGGGAAGTTCGTGGCCCTCACCGAGTTCGGGCAGCCGGATGCCAACAAGTGGAACCGCCGCCAAGACATCCTGCAGGACGCGAGGGCCAAAGTGGATTCCTTCTGCCGAGAGGCCTACGGGGTGGGCAGCTACAGGGCAGACAAGACACGGCGTGTGATTGGCCGGAGAAGTGAGTCCGGGGGGGGGGAATGCCGGCCCCTCTGCTTTCATTCAACCCATTAAGGTTCTTTATTTAACTACTAAAATTAATATGTACATTTTGAAGATGTTTTCACTAAAATGGCCAGTTTTTAGATTTTGTATTTCTGGTGATTAAATCTGTTCCTTCCATTTCCTTGTTAAAAGTATTTTCCCATTCAGAAGAATTTTCTTGTAAAAAAAAAAAAGAAAAAAGCAGTGTCATCACTTTCAATTTGAAAAAACTGCCTTTTTTTAGCCCTTTTGCAAAGATTTTTAATGTTCCAAGGTACAAATGTGCTTCGTCTGAAGAAAAACCCACAGATATATTATTTATCTGAGTGGCAACCAGATTAGATCCCAGGTCTTCATTACAAATAACAAAAAGGTTTAGAAATGGAATCTTAAATATTATTAACTCTTAGTAAAAAAAATCCATCATTAAGAAAGACTGTTAACAAATTACTTACATGAGACACTAAATAGCAATTATTGAAAAGAAAAATCAAGATTAAACATCAGATCCAAACATACCTTGCAGCCCCCCAGAAGCCGTTTATGAGCCATTTGCCTCCCACCAAAGTACCAGAAGATAAATAGCCAATTACTGAAAATAATTTAAAAAAAGGTTAAAAATAAGACCCAAACACCTCTGGCAGCCCCCCAGAAGCCGAGGCTGCCGGACGCAGCGCCAGAGCCGCCTCTGGGGGGAGAAGGAGGGCGGGTGCCCCGTTTACGAGCCATTCGCCTCCCCCCAAAGTAGCAGAAGATGCAGAAGCGTTTT